ATGAGTGTATTGAATCAGCAAATGAATGTATGACTTAGTCTTTCAAATTATATCATTTCATGAGTGAACAGTGGTAAAAATATGAATCTTACACTAAGGCAACCTGGGTAGGGTAATGCCACTTATTACCTCTGGGGTATGGGAAAATTACTTAACACCTCTAAACCTGTTTTCTTATCTGTGTCGTTGGCATAAGGATAGACTGCTGTTAGAATTAAGTATGTACGTAAAGTGCTTAACACAGTGCCTGCAACATAATCAGTGTTCAGTTCATTGAGCTGACTTTTTATTGTTTTTTTGAAATAAAATAACTTCCCCAAATATGCTTACACTTACATGCTTGGGCAGTTTTTCAGTTGTGCTTGTTCTGTTAACTTTAAAAACCAAAGATCTAATCATATAACTGGAGATGTTAATGCTGTTCCAGGGTCCATTCTGGCACCTCGCCCTCAGCAGGACATTCCTGTAGGTTGAAGGGCCGGTTCTGTAGAACCGACCACCTGTGAGCAAAGGGTGCCCACAGGCCCTGTCTCTCTCCCAAACATCTGACACACCTGCAGGATGCACTTCCAGCACTGCCCATCCTTCTTCCAGCACTGCCCTCTCCAAGAGCTTGGCTTGCTGGGAAGTTATTTTGCATTCCAGGGATAGCCATAGAGCATTCTGGGTGAGAAGGGAAAAATAGCAGAAGACTCAATTTTTTCTCTGGATAACACTTAATGTGGCTAATCTACAGTGCTGGCTGGAAGTTTAGGACCTCTTGCTAATCATAAACACCAGTAATGATCCAGTGCTTCATGTGTGCCAGGGGCCGTGTTCAGTGCTTTATTTCCATGATCTCAACCAATCCTTACTGTGAATCCAGTTCACAACCCTATGTGAATTTTAAACTTTAGTTGTAAACTAAAAATTAAAGAGTGCCACATGCGTATTAAGGGGCTGTGATGATAAAATCAAATATTTCTTTGCGATGTTTTCCCACATTTTTCTTTCCAAGCAAGTTGCGCAGGGCTGCAACACCTTTGGACTCTGCAGAAAACTTCTCTGCAGTGAAGAGATGTTTGGCAGAGGAATAAGATAAAGGCTGTGTGGAGAAGGTAAGAAGCTTCATTCTAGTCAACAGTTTATTTTAACTCAGAAGAAGCTAGTAACAAGGAGCTGAGTCTGATTTGTTGGTTGCGTGTGTTTGCTTCTTTGTAAAAAACAAACACTGTGCTGGTTTCCAGTGCCTCCCCCTTTTCCTTATGGGGCATTTAAAAGGTTTTATTTTTATCCTCTCACGTCTCCCAAGTTTGATGATTTCCTTTGAGGAAAGGTCTACACAAAACACACACACAGACACACACATAAGAACAGTGCCTGAGTTATATAGCTGACACCCAATATGTTTGTCGAATGAAGGCATGACAAAATTTTAAAAAATCTCTTTTTTTCCTGAGAAAGGGAGCTGCTGTGAGATTTTTAAATGGTAAAATTTCAATGTGTAAAATTCTTTTTAAGTTTTTGTTATAAAACAATTTGAGGAAGAAATTATTCTAAAATGTGTGGTATTACTTAATCTTGGTGATTCAGGACAGATTACTGGAGTGGATTGTAACTCCTTTAGAGCTTATCAAGGTGAGATCACTTACCCTTATACTAAATGGGCCCAGCCTGGTATGCTTTTAAGTTTGTGTAATCTGATTTTCATAAATTTCCTCTCCTCTCTCTCTTTCACTGTCTGCTATTTCTTCTTTGCCTTCTGCATGTCTTGCTCTAGCAGTGTTCTCTCCATCCCCCATTCAATTAGCTGTTTCTGCTTTACTATTGACTAGGGAGCTGGCAAATGAGGTTTGTTAGAACTATGTGTATGATAAAAATAAACAGTGTTGAATTTAGACTAGACAGGCTCTTCTCTAAGGGAAGGGGATGGAAAGGTAAAATGTCTCTAGAAATAGTCTCCTCTAAGCGAGGCTACCCCACATATATATACACAGTTGCACTGGGTCTCAGTTACCTGTGTTATGAAAAAGGGAGAAGTGGCATGGATAATTCCTTTACTCTTTTGGACAATAAGCATTTCTGAAAACCTCCAGTAAGCAAGACACTGGTGAGATATGGAGGTTAAAATACAATCACACAAACACAACCCCTGAAGAATCAGAATGTATAAATCATTATGAAAGATAAGATATGCACAGGAGTTTGTAGTGCAACTTGTATAATATTGGGAGTAGTATAAGAGTATATGGCTAGTAGAAGTTATACGATAAAACAATCCAGTGTCTGAAAGGAGGAGACAACCGTGTCAGTCAGGAAGGGGTTTATGAGGAAATGGTATTTGAAGTGAGTCTTGACGTGACGAGAGGTTTTAGAGAGAGAGATGAGTGGGGAGCAGTGGTGTATGAGTTTGGGTCAGAGCAGAGGAGCAGGAATAATTGGATTAATGACATGGAATTTGGGATTTATCATAGGGATTAGATCTACTATTGTGAGAGAAGCTTTTGGGACAATTAAAGCCCTATAAAGGGAAAGTTGGGAAATCAGATCAAAGTCTAAGGATCCTGAGAAGCAGCAAGTAAAGAAATCTCTGGAAGACCTTTGCCACTGTGTATGGTAGACAGACAGTCAGGAAGAAAAATTGGGTGTGAAGTGGAAGAGAGTAATCTGGAACCTTCTGGGACAAACCAAAACCCTTAACTGTTCTCACTGTGTCTAACCTCTACAATGCGGGTACCTGGCAGACAGAGCCATGGAGCTTCCCACCTGCCTGGCCTTGGACTTGGGGAAGTTAAAGGGACCTGAAGGAGTGTGGATGTGACTACTGCCTCTAAATAGGAGGTGAGCCTCCAGATCCACAATAACCTTTGCGACTCACTAGAAGGACTTTCCTAAGGCAATGGCTATTCCTTCACTTATCCCATCCATCAGGCAGATTTTCCTGGAGGCAGTCCTAACCAGGAACCATGCACAAAAGGGCATTCTGGAAACCATAATTCCAGTTTAAATTGACACATTTAAAAACCATTTGTGGTACCTAAAATGTAAGGAACAGGATGAACAGGTAAACTGAAGGAAGGAAACCTATGCTTTGCTTGGGGAGAGTCCATCTGCACTAGGAGGTGGTATATGATCAACAGGGTCATCGAAAATCAGACTTTTAAAAGGTGAGTTGAGTTTGTATTGCTGAGAAATTTGCACTTAATCCTACAAAGCAAGGAGAAGCACTGAATCTTCTTAAGCAATAGAGGCATGACCAGATCTGTGTTTTAGCTCTGGCACTGAAAGTCAAAGCATTGGAATTCAGAAAGGGGATTGGTGGGGCAATTAATGATGATTCTGTTATAATAATCCAGGCAAGAAAATGTGCATTTCCAGAACTCTCTTCTGTTCTCAGTGGAGAAGGTGACTCAGAGTCATCATAAGGGGTTGTTCAGGATTATCCAGGGAACTAAGAGTCTTAGTGTGCATTACAAGCCAAGGTGATCTTATTCAGGGCTAATGTTGTGAACTATAATGTCATTATGCTATATCTGGATAACTGTTCTTTAAATTTCCCGGATGATTCTGCCTCTACTACATGAAGAGCAAGAGAAAAAGTATATGTAATTGGAACATCAACTGTAATGAAATTGGCTTATGCAACCATGTCAGTGTCACTTTGAGAGAGTCTTTAAAAATAAGTATTACTTATTTAATTTAGTAAAATAATGGCTTTTGGCTTTACTGAATGGAAATAGTGGTATTCCTTTATGTTTGGCCAACAATTTGCATACTACTTATATTTCATTTGCTTTGACAATGACTCTGCAAGGTGAGTTTGGTCTGAGTTCATGTAAGTGAGAACGCTGAAGCTCAGAGGTTGTGATAATCATCAAGTAGCCACTTGGCCTTTGGTGATCTAAGAGCACTCATTGCAGTTCCATATACTTGATAGACACCATTCTATTGCTTGTCCCTCAATGTTGCTCTATGTACCATTGCCTGATCTTCTTCTTGGGACACAGAACTGGTTATGCTGTGTCCTATTCTAAATCTGTGCATAGATTTTTGGACTTCATTACCTTTATGGTTTCTTTCCACCCAGAGAGCTGTTTTCATAACCTAGGTGTTAATTATCAAAATTTTCACCCCCCTTGCAGGATATTTTACTGCCTTGTATCAAAATACAGGATATTTGATATACACCAAATACAGAGTAAAGAGGAAAGCCTTTACAATAGCCTATCAAAGCAGGTACCTTAAGATCCCCAGGAGAGCCACACATCTTTGAATTTGGTCATTCCATAAGTCTTCTCTGTCAGCACATACCCCTAAATGTTTAAAAAACATATCTCTGGCTTCCTACCTGTCAAAACACAGCAGAACTCATTCACTTGTCTTGACTTATTTAAAACACATACTTACGGCCATTGCTTTATCACCTGAGAGTTCAGCAGCCAACAGCAGGTGAATACAAATGCTGTAAACTTCATTCAGCACACCTCTGCAGTGTTCTGTCCTCCTAGAGGGATCCCTAGGCACATCCAGTTGGGGCGACAACCTCAGGCTCTATGCTTTGGGACATCTGGGACTGTTGCAGTTATTGATGTAGAGACAAGGCTCAGGAGGAGGGATATAGAAATCAGGCTTTCCCAGCTGCCATTTAACAGAGTACTTGTAATGGTTCTCTGAGACTGCTGGATCGTTAGGGTCAAAAGGCTAAACCCAGCTTTGCGCAGAAGCCAGAGAGGGACGTGCCTTGTTTAGAGCCAGCCAAACTTGTCTATAACTGGCCTTCTGAGTACGAGTGCAAGAACTTTTTACTGTGTGCAGTGTGCTGCCTCTCCCATGGGAGAGCTAGCCTCATGTCTCCCTACCAGATACATGGATTTCCTGCTTCTTTGTGTTTGTATGTAGGGAAAAGCTTGGGAGATTGCTTGATGTCTAGTAAGAAAAAGAGTAGCTAAAATATTTGAGTGTTTACTATGTGTCAGGTCATTTATGAAATCATTTCCTGTAATCTTCATACTTGTTTCTAGGAGGTACTTTCCTGACCTGTGTGCCAATGAGGAAACTGAATCCCGGAACAGTTACGATGCCTGCACAGCTATAGAGGATTTAAGTCCTCGTCTGTGTGACTCAGAAGCCACACTGAAACCTTGCACTTCGCTTCACGGTACCAAGGTGTGCCTTTTATCCCATGGCCCCATCCACTCTGCTGACACATACGACATGAGCATCTTGTAAGAGATGTTTACTTACTGCACTGATCTGTCTGACGGTTCCCTAGAAACCCAGCATGGGCGAGCTAGCTCACTAGGCATTGGAACTCTGGTCTCCTATTACATCCTTTTCTCCTTTTTCAGCTCCTTTCTCCTGTTTTGATAGCATTTCTATTTCTTCAGTACGCCTCTCTGACTTTGAGGTTTGGATAGGAGAGTAGGGGAGCAAGTGCTTTGCAAAAGCCCTAGTCACCCATTTCTGAGAATGAGGTCTGTGGAGACGCTCTGTCAGATTCCAGATCCCCAGAGTGAAAGGCCCAAAGGTGTCTGTAGGAGAGATAGGCACTTCTCTGACATGGCGCCAGAAACCCCAACCAGGACAAGCAGGTAGAGATTCCAGGGGATCAGAGTCCAGTTCAACATAATGGGAGACTTATTACAGTGTGGGCCATGGGAAAACTAAATTGATAATGAGTCCACCATCGCTAGAGATATTTAAAGAAGGCCTAGACATCCACTTGGCAAAGATGTTACAGGGAGATTTGAACACTAGAAAAAGACGTTTGAATCAAAATGACATTTGAGGGCTTTTCCGGTCTTGGGACTCTGTCTTGAATTCGCTTAGAAAGTTCATATTGGGAATAAAGGTTTCTCCTTGTTATAATTTACACCAACTTGTGATGTCGCCTCCCCCCTCCCCCTGTGCTTCCCCCGTCTGAACAACCACTCGATTTAAGAAGGGACCTTCGGATGAGGAAGGATGTGGTTCCTTCCCGCTGGCAGCACTCCGGGTCAGAATGGGAGACTTGTGCTGGGCCTGGCACGGATCCGTTGGGCCCTCCTACCCTCCCAGTTGTGGCTGTGACCAGAGCACGTGGGAGGTACACATCCATGTAGAGAAACTGTCTACTAGCTGCCAGCTCTGTTTTTTTTTTTTTCTTTAATTACTAATGAATGTAGCCTTGCCCAGGTTAGATAGAGCTCTTGGAGGAATGAAGAGGCACCTACAAGTTCCAGTCTGGCCAGACAAGCATCCCTTGAAAAACATTCCCTCTACAGTTGGCAGCATAAGAGAAAATGCCTTTGAGAGCAGTTTCTTCTTGCCATTTCAAAGGAGAGCCGCTTGTAAGCCAGGACGTGAGGAATGCAAAGCTTTTTTTCCCCTGTTTTCTTTTTTTAAATTGGCTTAGTACTAATCTGAAAGCTGTGCTGTTCGAAAATGATAATAATCCTTTGATTTAATGTCAGAGTTGAGACAATTCCTTAGTTCTTGAAGGAAGGAGTATTATAATGATAGGAAATGTTCAGCGATTCTTAACAGCTTTGATTTGAATTAATGAAAAGAGTGTTACCCAAACTGACAGCCGGGCTTGCTGGCCAGTGCTGCAGCTAAGAATGGACAACACTTTTCAATTCAATACAGTGATTTTCCCCCCTCAGGACTTATAAAGACATTACCAGACTCCAACGCACTACAGTATAAATGTATTTCAATAGCATGGTACAGCTAAGTATGCTTTGCTCGAATCTATCATGTTTGGATATGTCAAACTGTGAAGTCTTATCTCTTACAAGGAAACTTCAGGAACTCACAGCTATCTGATGACAGGTCAACCCCACTGTCTCCAGGAAATAAACATGATAAAAAACTTCATAGCTGCAAGAACATGTTAGGGATCCGGTTTAACACAGCCTGGAGGTAGTTTGGCCAAGATTTTCCACATACACCATAAATCTTCACAAAGCCGTGGGAAGATAGCAGCCACTGCCGCTTCTCTAGCAGTGTACTCATTGTTCCTGGGCCCAAGTTGCTAGCTGTCTTTCGCTGACACAGAACCGTTGTCTGTTTAGACAGAACTCTATTCCCAGGATATAAATGGTATGTTATTTTTAGGGGATGGTTCTATTTTCTAGTAGTTTTTCAGAGATGGGAGGAAGTGAGAGGCAAGGCTTGACCTGGGAATGAAAAGCCATTTCATGTTTTCACAAGTGAGCTACTTCCCCTTCCTGGGCTTCTGTTTCCCAAATAGTGTCCCGAATGACATTGTTTGATTCCCAAGGCCCTTTTTGATTTTCTAGAGTTTTCTTGATAAGAAGGTAGATAAAGGTGGAGAGAATTAAAAAGCATTCAAGTGGAGGATAGAGCTTAGGAAAATAAGTTTATTTTAAATAGGACTCAGAAAAGCCTCATTGCAATAAGCCTTCATAGCAAATGTGTGAGACTGTTTTGCATACTACAAGGTAGTGTTTGGTTCTCCCCATATGTCTCATTTCCACTTGACAAGACCTAATGAGAACCTTGAATCACAGCCATGAGGAAGCTTAGAGACCATCAGGTTTAATTCCCTCATTTTCTCCATAATGACCCCAAGGTCCTTGTTTAGGGTGACACAGATCCTTGAATTCAAATCTCCTGGCTCCTTGCGCAGGTGACTTTGGTATATATTGCCTGTTCAGTTTATTTAGCAGTGGTGAGTCCTTCGTAAAAGAATCAGGCCAGAGTTTCAAAATCGATTGGTTCTAAATAATAGAATTTGGTGACCAGAAATATATGCTAGCAAGATGATTTGTTTTATATATATATAGTTTACTTTCCCCATGATACATTGTTTGGGCATGAGTTCCCTTTTGTGGGCCTTTGTTCCTGGCCAATAATGCCTTTCTTTCATGTAGGTTTTAGAAGGTCTATCTTCTTCAAGTAAAACTTTTCCTTATAACTCACTCTGGGGTCCTTGCCAGGGCCACTCACCTTCACATTTCTGATCACAGTCTCTTAAGGTAAAACCGTAGCTCTCTGAAAATACTCAGTGATAGGTGTGTTTTAGGTTGTAGAGTATTATGACCTAAATTAAGATTGCAGTTCCTAATTACTAATTTTGTAATCATGGAGTAGCCACTAACACTATAGCATAAGATTTACTTATCCTAAATTATAGATATGGTTATTTCCAACAATCAGCTGACCTTGGATCAATCAAGTTGTCTTTGTGCTTTTGTTTTTGGTCTGTTAAGTAAGGTGGTTGGCCCATGGCCCTCCCAAGGTCTTCTATGATCAAGGATCTTGTTATAATTGTGTGTGTGTGTGTTTTAAGAACACACATTTCAGCCCTGGCTGGTGTGGCTTAATGGACTGAGTGCTGACCTGAGAACCACAGGGTCTGTGGTTCGATTCCCAGGCAGGGCACATGTCTGGGTTGCAGGCCAAGTCCCCAGTATAGGGCACACAAGAAGCAACTGTACATTTATATTCCTCTCCCTGTCTTTCTCTCTCCTTCCCCTCTCTCTAAAAACAAACAAACAAATAAACAAACAAATCTTAAAAACAAAAAAACGACACATTTCTCTTTTTTTAATTTAAGATTTTATTTATTTATTTTTAGAGAGGAGAAGGAAGGGAGGAGAGGAAGAGAAACATCAATGTGTGGTTGCCTCTTGTGTGCCCCCTACTGGGGACCTGGCCCACAACCCAGGCATATGCCCTAGGCTGGAAATTGAACTGGAGACCCTTTGCTTCACAGGCCAGCACTCAGCCCACTGAGTGACACCAACTACAGCTAATCTTGTTGTAACTGTTTTAGTAGCATAGCTTTCTGAAGTGTATTCCATAGCACACATCTGTTTCATCTGTTAGAGAGTATCCTGAGAAATTATACTTTTAATTAGTAATTCATGGTCATAATTTTGAACATCATTTTTTTTCACTGTCCATAATAATGTCCCCAGGACTTATGGAAATATGTAAGATCCTAACACTAAGTGGCCTCAGGCCCTGAGATTACTAGGGCCTGAGATTACTTGTTTTTCTGTTTGTTTGTTCATTTTTTCTAATAGCTCAACTTTTTCACTGCCACATCAACATACCTACTTACAAAAGCCTTTTTCCTTCCATCCAAATTAGCTATTCTTTCTGCTTTGGCATAAGGGCTTGAATAAAAATCTGAGGCTTTGTACTGTAAGTGACATTGATTCATTATTTTATTTTATTTTTTTTAGATTAAAGCAGAACTCATTCTGGTTGCAGTTAGACCACTGGTTTGTATAGTTGTTGGCTACTGGGTATTTGCTTGCTAGTTGACGCTGGCTAATAATTGAGTTACCAGCTGCTGAGGGATAACTATCTGCCTTTTTTTCTATGTGTTGTGCCTTCCTCCTCTGTTAGCTGTTAATCTTCTTAGACATTAGAATTATGTTAGGTTATTGTTGTGGTTTTCTGAGTAGATGCTAGGACTCTATGGATTTTTATTAATGCTAAAGGAAAATCATCACAAACCATAAGTATGGAAAGAGCAAATTTTTTAAAAAACCTAAAAATGTCATCAATAGGAAAATGGTTGAACACATAATGCTATAACTGGACAATGGAATTGTATTTAATCATTTAAAAAAATGAAGTCTAAATATATAAACTGATTTAGGAAAATGTGAATGGTATATTGTTACATAAAATAAGCAACTTGTAGACTCATATATGATTCAGTTTTGTAAAAAACAATAAAGAAAAGCTTATGTGTGAAAAGATGGAAAAACTCTTAATCTGGTAGTTCGATGTATGTTAGGAGTGGGATTGATAAGTACTTAAAAGAGAGAAGAGGACATAATGCTTTCCCCTCTTACCTAATATAATTTCTTTAGAAGGGGATAATAAGATTCTAAGTACTTTACCCTAATTTTTTATTATGAAATTTTTTAAATATATAGCAATGCTGAAAATATGTTTCAGTGAGTACCCATATAAACACTGCCTAGTTTCTACTATTAGCATTATATAATACTTGCTTTATCACATCTTTATTCATTTATCAATCTATGGGTGATTTTTATGTTTTCCCATATTATCAGACTTATTTGAGGAAAGAACCTGTAGCCTCTTGCTAAATAAGACGCATAGCCTGTTGCTAAGAGCCATAAAACCATATTTACAGATTTTATTGATTTGCAGACACAGAAACAAATATTAATAAA